GACTAGGCATACGTAGTACGTGTCCCAACCATCTCAGTCGATGAAGGTTAACAACCTCGTCAACTGACTTACCTCTTCTCCCCAAAACTCTACACCTAACTTCTGCATTACTCACATGGTGACACCACGGAATACATCCTATACTACGAAGGCAACGGTGATCAAACACCTGAAGCCTTTTTGTATCCTCCACTTTCAATGGCCACGTTTCACAGCCATATAGTAGAACAGAGCGGACTGCTGTGCAGTACACGCGACCCTTAATAGACAAACGAATATCACGGCGGTGCCATAGGTGGCGCAAATTGGCAAAAGCCAATCGAGCCTTTTGTATCCGTGCAGAAATCTCATCGGCAACTAACCCACCAGGGTTGATCCTACTTCCCAGGTAAGTGAAGTGGTCAACACACTCAACCACTTCACTCTCTATTGTTAGCCGCGGTACCGCTGAAGACCAGTCCTGGAGCAAAAATTTGCATTTGGGTGGTGAAAATCGCATCCCAAACATTCTCAAATTCCCACTCAAAGTGTTCAGAAGACTCTGCATCTTGTCAGCGTCTTCACCTAACAGGACTATGTCATCTGCATATTCTAGATCTAAAGAAAATTCACCTGTGATCGGGTCAACGTCTGTGTAGTCAGGTGAAGAGAGGGAAACCTCCATAAGAATATCTATGATAAAATTAAATAAGAATGGGGATAGTGGGCATCCTTGACGGACAGGACATGTGACCGCGAACAGATGCTTTTGCTTAGCACTAAACGTTATCTATACTGCATCGCCAATAAATCAGCTTCCTCTTGTTTGTACACGTTTTTCATATAACATAGGTTTGTGATGAACATCTCCCTTTAATTTGCTAACCACGAACCACTTATTGGAATATTCTTATTCGCCAAGCATCATGAGAGATCAGTGTGGTGGTAGCAGGAATAACTTTAATAGGTTTATACAATGTCAGAAACTTGCATTCCACTAAGATTTCCAATGATAACATTCCTTGTTTATTTGAAACACTACTGACTTGGCGCCTACATGTAATTTTATTGCTTAAAAATTGATTCCTAATTTCATGTAAATAATCTTTTTATTGAATAATATTTGTGAAGGGAAGTGACGTGTCCACAGGACAAAATGAGGTGTAAATAGTTCTACTATTAACATTAAATGAAAGACAAAGTAAGCAGAACAATGAAATTCCATCCATGTTCTTTCGCATGTTTATAGCCAGCTGTGCAATCAAGGGTTACTGGTTGGAAAAGGTGCAAGGTGAGTATGTGGTTAGCAAAGTTACAAAATTCACCAAACTTCAATTACTTTTTCAGTTAATATCTTGTTTTTACCTAGTCAGAAATGTAAAAAGGTGATGAAAACCGCATGAAATTGTATTCACTAGTGAATTGATTGTTTTTTCTTTATAACATAGGACATCGGATAGTCAGTGAATACGAACTAAAGCTGTTTTCAAAGCTAAAAACTAACTCCGTATTCCAAAATCGGTAGTGATATTCGACATCAGAATGTCTCTACAACCTCAGGATAATCAAAATCGCCATAACGACTCATAACCAGGTTAGACTGAGCTTCCTTCTTACAGCACAAACATTTCAAAGTCAGAGGATTAGATGTTGGTACTGTATTTATTCTTCATTCCCAACAGTTCCATTGGGGTAGACAGTGCAAATGTTATCCAAAGTCAGTTGAAGTACATTCAGTACCAAAAAATGCTGAAATCTCAATCCACATTTTAAGTTCACAACAGTATTTGTAATGCAGGGTAATAATTAGTATCTATGAACTGAGATAAGCAGCTATTTCTAAATTCATGTTTAATATTCCTCATTCCTCTGTTCAAACTAGGTTTTTAGTTGCATATACGGTCAGGTAAAGATAAAAGTTGAGCACTGATAGAATACAATCCCATTTCAGTTGGTTTATTAGATGTGGAATTACCAATATTAAATCACCAGCGATCGATAAAGCAAAAGGGGTTGTCATTCTTCTATTGTTCTAAGCTCAAAAAAATTTAAAAGTTATTCAACAAGCGGCTTAATTTAGACGTAGCAGTTAATAAATTACAACCTAAAGAAAGAAAATATCATTAGATCCAGATGATAGCTGCAGATGAGGTGTGAGCACTCAGTGCGCTAAAACTCAAATGAAAGAAGAAAACACAAAATAAAATTCACAAAAATGTGAAATTAAAACTTAAAACACACAAAAATGATAACAGCATACTAATTACCCAGTCAGGCAAAAGTTACCAAGCAGCGATATCAAAGAACTCTGATTACGTTCAGAATGTCAACCAACTTACAGAGGCAGAACTAGCTGAGGAAATTAGAAAACAAATGAGTACTGTCATGAATGAAGTCTAGAAAAACTCCCCGCAGCTATTCTGATATGTCGAATAAAACTGTTTCTACGTGAGGCGCAATAGCTCAATTCAGTACTGCAAGGCGATAATCCTTGCACTATTCAAGTTCATAATCCAGATTGTCCTATTAGACCCACAATAGACTGCAAAAAACACTTTGACTTGTGAATTATCTAATTATTTTTCCATGGTGCTAGTTCATTTTAGAATCTGTTCTAATTCTAGGCTTACCAATTCTTATGACATAAAAAGAAAATTAGTTGGTACACAATTAGACGACAGGAGAAGTGGGCGGTTTTGATGTTACTAGTCTGTATGCTAATTTACCGATTTACAAGGTAGTGAAGGTAATTTGAAATGAACCCGGTAATGAGTATTAAACATACACTTTAGACTCCCTTACTAGTTAGGGCGATCACGCTCTTACTACATTTACGCCTTTTTTCTACAGTCTTCAAATTTCAGAACATATATATATATATATATATATATGTCTGTTAATTTCCACAACTGGCGTTAATTAGCATATATGTTTCCAGCTTAGTTTCCAATAGTGAGGAGTAAGGATTTATACGATCCCACATCTTTTACATTCGTTGAAATAAATTTATATGTAGTGAAGAAAACGATAATAAGTAATATGATAATTCAGTTTTGAGGGCTGTCAGAATTTGTTGGTTCCAAGTTGATCTGCACCATGATCTGACATCAGTTAAAGAACCACTGAAAATGGAATACGACTGGATAGTTGCTTCATTCTAATATGGGACTCTTCAGTCGTCCAGTGCCCTAATTTTTGCAATGGTCCACCAAGTGATGAGGACCAACTTGGAATAAACAATGTAATACTTTTTGAAATGTATAATTCTGAAGTTTATCTCTAGTGTTTCTCATAGATTTATACCGATACTATCACCTTTTGTTTACCTGAATGCTTATAAAATGCTTATAAAGTCTTATGCTGTGAAATTTGTGATTTTCAATGATATACTTCAAGGCTTGGTAACGAGATTGAGTATATGAAAATCAGCTACCTACCACTTCAATTCCTGAAGTCAGTTAGATCACAAACAATTCAGTTTGTTGAATAAAATGGCTTTCTAATAGCCTCTTTTGAGTATCACTAAAGCCAGAAAAGGTGCTAGCTATTAAAAAATTATTAAAGTTTATGATTTGATTTGAAGCAAAAATCAGAGGGCGAAGGACATAAAATATGGATATTATAGGCAGTTAAGTAAACTGTCAGTCTGACAGAGAGACAACAGCTAATCAAAAATGTTGGGTCTGTCTTCTGTGAATATAATTATAAACATGCATTTTTGCATGCATAACAGTAACTCTATGCCTAATGACCGATATTCGTGTTCACTATACACTGTTGTAATTTTTAAAAATAAAGGCAGAATTCCACTCAGTATGACAGACTTTCATTGGTATAAATTTGTAATACGTGTAGAACCTAACGTGTTTTTCACAGCATTTTTCGAAGTCACACAAACAAAAATACAGTGGAAATATTTTATGGATGATTGCTTGTTAATATTATCATACCTTAAGCTGATAAAGAATATTTAGGTAACTATTTCACTACAGTTAACTTCAAAGTTATCCAACCTACTGAATCAAATTTGTACCTAAAGCCTAAGGCGATGGGTCACCATTCTTGGCGAAATAATTTGCTTATGAAATGTTCTGATTACATTTCTTTCCAGTTTTCAATGTTTAGGGTTTTGATTATTTCCTGAATGTTGAATTTCTATAGTTTATCAGATTTTACTTTTGTACTTTTTGTTTACTCATCGGTTTTCAGAATGCTCCAAAATCTATTTTCTTCTGTCAGATTATATAAGGCTATTTGATTTCGGTTTTGGGTGATTTACATCTACATACTTTTATCCTCCTTAAATAGTGAAGCACTGATAATTGACAAACTAGCCCGTCTGCTTTGTTTGTAATAATTTATTGAAAAGCATTTTTAGACTGTTGTAATCAAGCTTTTCTCGATACGGCAACTGGACTGAATTAAGTTTCTCAAAAGCTTCAAAGAGATGTTTTGCGATATAAAAATTAGTCAACTGTGTTCATTCGAAGAAAGAAAATTAACCGAATATTTTTAATCGCGATTTCCTTAAGCTTTCTCAATATTTACAACGCTGTACACCATTAACACGTTGATTGAGTGACTACTTGAATTCGACAGGTGATATTTACAATAAATTATTTCATGGGATTTCAGATTACTTAGCAACATCAAAAAGACTGCTTTCATAGGAAAATGATTTCCCTCTATTAATATTATGGGCTTGAAAAAGGCTTGCTCTAACAGTTTAACCACTTCTCATGCCTTCAGTACACACCTGTTCAACAATAATTGTTTTTGAGTCGGCATGTTGTACCGAAGTCTTAATAGTTAGTTAAAAGTGAGACTATTCTATAGAGGTTTAGGTACAAGCAAGTCATCGCAATGATTTTGAAGCAAAGTATGACAGTCTTTCCAAATTTTAGAAGCATCTCCCTCCATGCTATTAGTGGTTTGTAATAGTTACATCACGTAAGATTACCATGAAAAAAGACTCAGATAAGACAAAAGCCTTTTCCATTTTGAATTTTATTCATTTATATTATTAAGTGATTTTGTATTAGTTAAATTAAGAATGTGATAGTTACATTCGTGTTTCGCGAATATTTCAGATGTTATATATTAAACTTTCCTGTCCGTCAGTTATCCAAGTCTCATCAAACGCACAGCACGTTTGTTGAAATCTTGTTCATCTTCAAGGTACGGACCTGTTAAGTCTTCTCTGCTATCAACTTGACTGAATGGATTTCTTTTAAATGATCCGGGGGCCATAGGAAACCATCGTTGTATTGGTTCAGCATGAACTTTGGAAGCTAAATCAACAGTCATAAAGAAAACTAAATAGCACTCATAAATAATTGGACAAACATGTAAAAATGAAGCTTTATCAATTTTGACTAAAGTTTAGTTGCCATTTAAGACCATGATTTCATTGTTTTACCTAATTATTTACGGGATTCGTGCTACTTGATAAATTGACTGATGCATAAAGGTTGTAGCCTTATTGAGTGAATATTGGGACAGACTATTGGTTCAGCTGCCAGGTTTACTTAGATTCAGCAGTCTCTAATAAAGAAACATAGTAAAAACTATCATTGAGTATCAATGCTGATTTTCGTGATAGAATCAATCATTTTTTTCATGTAGGGGCATTAGTTACTTGTAATTATTATATTTTGAAGTTGTTTTGTGGTGTCACCCAGAAAGGGAATCTCAAGCATACGTTTTTTCTTGGTTAGAATTCAGCAGTTTTATACATATTCACCTGGCTTGATGTTCTCATTCAAACTCAAGCTCATGTGCTACTTAGAATTCCAAATCATTATATCTGCATCACGATAACATGCTTTTATCACAGACTGCCATCTGTTGTCACTAGGTCACTGGTTAATAACAGCCGAATAACGAGACAGGTGATGAAAATTTGATGAAATTGTGTTGAATTCTTTGTTTGGAACAGCAACTGTTACTTCGTAATTGAATGAAAACAAATGAAATGATATTTGATTGACGAATTCCTATAAAATATACCCGTCGTTTATATCAGTAAAATAAAATTTTATAATCTCGGTTTTCAAAGGCATGCAATTATACATCCTATTTGTATTCATGTAGAAAAATTTCTAGGGATAATATAATGCATTACTATTTATCTATATTCTTGTAATTCTCCTCTGTTTTATTGGATCGAATTATTCGACCTCTATTAACATATGGACTCCTATGCGGATGCCTCGATATTGACTGAACGTTACTCATGACAATTTGGTCAGCTGTGGCTGGTAGGATACGCGTTTCGTCTTATTTGGGACTCGTCAGCTGAGTGTACCTGCAATCCCAGTGAATGATGTTGATCCCACAGAGAATCGAACCTCGTATCTATCGCTTCAAACGCCAAGGTGTTGTCCACTTTGCCTCGGAGGAACAATAGCCACTTCTTTTACAACGGGTAGTAGTTATGACTACTTGTTGATATCGTTGTAATTCTCAGTTGTTTTAGTGGATTGAACTGTTCGACTTCTGTTGGTATGTAGGCTCCTAGCGATTGGCACAAGGTTCGAGTCTCAGTGGGAACAACATCACTCATTGGGGTGGGGGTGCATCCAGCTGACGAGTCTAAAATAGGACGAAACGCACGTCCTGGATTCCTCTGTTAGCCACAACCAACCAGATCACCATAACGTAACGAAGTTTATGTGATTTATTCACTCTTATAATGTACTTATTGCAGATAATGCTTATACGCTGTGTAAAGTTACTATTATCACGTAAAGATTTTGCCAACCTCTTTACGACATTAAATCTTGAGTTCACAGAAATCTGCCATTTTGAGTTTCTACATGTTTTAAAGTGGTCAGACCATGAAGCACTTCCACCTCTTATACTAACAATAGTCTACTTATGAAAATCTAATTTCGTTTAAATTACCGCTATCAATTAGGGCATGTTGAAAGAATGTTCTGTTGCATCCTAAATCTTGTTGCTATAAACTTTAACTATTCCAGACGAAAAAACCGATACCGACACTTATTGTTTAACAGGCAAATTCTAATCTCTTAAGTTGAATCCAAAGCTTTCTTAGTTCAAACGTCAAAAACATTATGGTATTGGGCGGCACTGGACATTTAATTGCAGTATCATGAATAGGCTAATGGTTGTAAATGAATATTTCCCATCACAGTTTATGAAAACTTTCCCAATTCCTAAGGAGAAGTCAAGAATAATGATGCAAAAAATATTCCTATTCACTTACCTTCAATGCATGTTAGATATTTACCATGCTAATGTGTTTAAACATTTCAACTGTTTTTAACTTAAAGCTTTCAACCTATAAAACTGATACGATTCGGTGTTCAAATTACAGATTAGTGCAGAATTAGTGAGAGAGAACTGTTTCACGAGGACAAGTGGGTAAATGAAGTGATTGTTCATGGAGACTTTATTCCTTAAGCTGTACAGTCGCCTCCATCTGGAATTTTTCGGTGAGAATATATCTGTTTTATGTGTGAAAGAAATTCGTTTATGCCCTGAATACTCAGTTGCTCTAAGTGGTACAATTCAGAGAACTGCAATTATATACTGCTGTGACTATTTTAGCCATATTTCCAGTGAAATCCCATACTCTCTGCTACAAATGTATACAATTTCTGAGTTTCAAGTATTTATTAGGTAGGAAACTGGACATATTAGGTATAATGTCCACATCAATCAAGTGCCATAGTTTCTCAATTTATGAAAATGTTTAAAAATCATCATTTATGGAAGCGCAAGTTTTTCGAGAATGCCCCTATCCTAACAGACCTTTGAAAAGGATCTAATTAGTATTAGTTTAATTAAAATTTTGGAAAGCAGCCAATATGTTGTCTACCGATACCTGATTGTAATAGACTAGCTTACATGTTGTATAATCTCTAAACTGGTTATTTGTCAAAAAAAACATTAATTAAAGGTATCTGTTGTGATTCATGAAAGCATTCTACGTGATAGTAACAACACTGATAACGTAAATTTATGAAATATGCAGTACTTACTTGTTTGGCTAGTGTACAGCATGATTAAATACACACTGATAAGCATAACTGCTAGCTTCCCAACCATCTCTTTACCAATCATGAGAAAAGAATGTAGGCTGCAAAAAAATTATTAGATTATTTCTGTAGTGCATATTCAGATGAAAAATTATTTATTTGTAGTTTAAATGTACTTCACAATATGAGGAGAAATAATAAAATGAAATACATTAGAAACAGAATTCTCGAATCAGGATATTACCATTGAAAATTAACGGGTACCTAGTTTTACATGTTCATATTACTTAACTGGACGTATACAACAGCACAATTTTTAGCAGCTCGTTAAAAATTGTTGGTTGGTTTGGTGAGAGAAGTGAAGCTAACACTCTCCACTGTTCCTAAAGAGGAAGCATTCGATATGTAACAGTGGTTGACAAAGAAGCTGATCTTAAAAGACAATTTCTGACTGTGTAAAATATTATTCAGAAGTAGGAAAATGTGTGTCATTTAATTCTGACTGGCTGGTTTATTATTTTTGTGTGCTCATCGTGAAACCTGAAGGTCCTTGGCTTGATCCTGTACGGGGTAATGGTTGCGCACTACTGAAATGTTTTAAACTACAATGAAACAGGTATCCAGAGCTTTAAGGTTTTCATTGGTTCCCAAACTAATGTCAGTCCATGGGGAATACCAACTTGAAATCAGTAAGTCCCCACAAACCTCCAAATTGGAATAATATAATTCATTTAGTTATTTTTCCAGTTAAATCAAGAAGTTCAACCATATATTTTAAGTATGACTTATTGAAAATGTCTTTGATTGTGAAACAGCGCTCAACATGAAATGCTCCTCTAGCATTTGTTTGCAGAAATTTCACCTTGCCAGCATGAGAAAATAAAAAAAATGCAAGAGAACTTTCATTTACAAATTATGGTAGCAGAATAACAAAATGAGACATGAAATTAAAGGGTGCTTTGAAAATTTCCAGCCTAAGTAGTGTTTAGACAGCAGTTGCTCAAATCATTGTCAATAATATGAATCCTGACTCTGAAACTTTACACAGTTTTTGTCAGCAATACTTTTAAAAATGGCGGTTATATATATATATATATATATATATATAATCTATGCTGAGATGTGGAGAAACGCTAATAAAATTCCTGCCATCATGTAGATTTAATCACTTTGGTGTATAACACACGCTTAGTGAAATTTTTAAAGAAGTGTCATAATTTGATCTGCTTCTTGTTTGATTTTTGTTGACGGAACGAGCTACGCTGTCTTATAAAACTACTGTGTCGATACATCGCTTTCTGTCAAAAAGTTAATGAAAACACTTGTATCGTGATGTTGAAGATACAAATCAGTCTGCTGTTTGAGTTAAGATGTATGGTAATTTGTGTAAGTTCACTGCCAATCGCGTATAAGTCGGACCTCCATCAAGAGTTAATATTACTACCTAAAACACCTACTTAAACTCTGTTTCATTCCTTAGAAGTATTCAAAATGCTTGAAAGGAGTATCCACCAATTTCCTAAGCTACATAATGTTGGGAGTTGAATGTTTGAAACACCTTACATTCAAGTAGGTTGATGTACTTTCCTATTTTTCCATAAATTTTGCACTTATATTCCCTTGTGAATCATTCGTATGCGACAAAGTCCTAGCAATCTGATTTCAAGAGGTATTACGTCGGCAAATAACTTGAAATTTCCAGATGACAATTCACCATTTAAAATAGTAATATCATTGAATCTAGTTTAATAAACGCCGAAAACCCGTAACTAATAATAGTTTATCTTTGAGGATATCTCAGACAGCTGTGATTCGGCAGAGTTGTATTGATAATTCTGGATGATTTTTGAAAGTAGCATGACCTGAATGAGTGATCTGTACGATACCGGGTTGCCAAGTGAGACGTGAGAACCAGCTATTGAACTGTTTTTAACTTTTCTTCATTCACTTGGTAAAGCTTTTAGCCTGTACCCAAAGGGTGGCTAGTTAGAATCTTGCCATGACCTAAGTTACCATCGCACCTTAGTCATTAAAGTTTGAAGATGAAAGTTATTCTGGTTACACTACAAGATCTAAGCAAGTTACTATATCTTAGACAAGACAGTGAAAAATTATTTGTACGCTTGTTTATGCTTTAGGGAGAACAGTAGTTTATGATCCGACAAGTTATTTTTGCATCATAACTCTGCTTTTTTTGATATATTTCAGATGTGGTAAATAATTATTAAATTTTATCATTTTGTCCTTTAGTTTGTAATGAAATGGACATAACGTTTTCCGCTTCAGTAACTAAAATAGATATCTTTCGATCAAATGACAATTTAGTTAATGCGCATATTTTCTGTAACGTTTTGGATAAACTTCTTTTGATAACCTTAAAAAGGCGGAGGAAGTAATTTAGTTGTTAATGTTTCTAAATAAATTAGTAGAGAAGTTGAAAGGGTTTAACGTTGAACTCTTTATTGATAGGGTTAGGAGCAGCCTATTTCGATTTAAAGTGTATACTTTATTAGAAGAAGTTAGTGGTAATACACTTCATGGAACATAAATATTTCAGTAACTAGTGGAAAATATACTTCAATTATCAGAATAAGAAGTTGGAAAATCGTATCTTAGACATGGTGATAGAGTGATTCAACGCTAATATGTAGCTGTACAAAAATCATTTTGAATATGTTATTATTTTTTAAAACGCTATGCTTTCATGGTGAAAATGTTTTACTTTTGACCATTATAAAAATACACAAATGCCGAAAATCTGTAAAGTCCTTTCAGAGTACTTAACATGAGGTTTCATGTCTGTAACCTAGTGAAGGTAAGTAAAGTTTTAGAGCTGGACAGCCTAACAAAAGCTGCTATTAATTGCCGAAATTGAGGTTTTCTGCGGTTTAAATGGACACAGTGGAAATAGATTCTACATCTTCAGCTTCCGATGAGATTATTATTTGAACTCTAGCTATGATCTTAATCGTTTTATTATCCACAAGAAGTACAATTAATATCTGCAGAGATATGGTAAATTTATGTATCTGAAGAAAAATGTTAAGCTCGAGGTATAGAAACTTCACTGGTGTGATTCATTGTTAACTTTTTCTTAAGAGAAACGATTCGACTTTTTAGAGCGTTTGCTCAGAAAGTAACTGTTGTTCCGAAATAAGAAAATAAATCAGATAAGCAGTCAGAAAATTTCCACTGCAAACTGAAGGTTTCCTCATCAAATCTATATAACGAGAAAATTGAACTTCTAGTTCGATACTTGAGTTTGAGTTGACAAGTGATACATCCGACCCCTTTCAGTTTAAAAGGCTAAAACTGTAAGGCATCCTAATCTCGGAATCAATCTAAACAATAAATTTCACAGTATGGACTATGATCATTTCATTAAGAATATATGTATGATAACTTCATTCTCTCCATGATTCACAAATTTTTCATAGATATAATTATAAGTAGTTCATTCATCTTAAAAACGGATTATTTTCATAGTACGATATAATTTAGTTCACTTTTCAGCTTTCTTCGTAAAATAAAAAAATAGGGTGTAAGATGAAGTGTCTTTAAAAAATAAACATTAAGCAGTTTCTGTCTTCTCTGAAATATTTTCTTTTTTGTTTTCTATATATTATGTCAAGTAGAGGTTGTATATGGCGTTCATTTTGTCGCTTCGTAAATTTGTTTCGCTATGCTTTTCAGCATTACCTCTATACCACCAAGAAGCATCGGAAGTACTGGTATCCAAGGAATATTAAAAGTTTTGCTGTGTTGAGTTGGAGAAATATTACGGTATATTTTCAGATTAATAGCCTACTGGCGTCAGTAAGGAGGTAATGTAGGTTAAATCACTTTCAGAATTTTGATGCTAGTGATTTTATATTTTATGGATCTTAAACTGATATATAACCTTAGGATGCATATTTTTATATTGCAGTGTTTCAACTTAGTTTGATTCCAAAAATCTTTGTTACCAATAGACAAGAGATTTACCTACGAGTAAAAAATTGTATGACCGTCAAACTTTTAACTTCCTACACCTAAATTTGACACAAGTTAAGAGACTATTGAAACCGAATTTCTGATAGAAAAACTACCTATTGAGGATTACTGAAATTTGCTAAGGTGAATGCAAATTTATTCACCGCAATCGTAAGAAGTCATTAGAATAGCCGTTACCACACCGATATTGCATTTTACAACGAAGAAAGCAATTTATTCTTTAGATTGTTTCAAGCTTTACAACTGTTATGGAGACTGGAAAAGAATTCACTTTATATAAGTGTTAGTGGCGTTTAACAACCAATGCTGGAACTGACCCTATGAAATTATATCAAATGTTTTCGACTATAACTGGTGATTAGCTTGTTGAATCAAATTGTTTATAAGTATTTGTTCAACGTTCCAATGCATGACTTTAAGAATTATGGTGGAAAATAGTCTCCCTGATGAAGACTCGATAATTAGGATATATCACGCAATTACACAGACTATGAAAATAGTTGCTCTGAGTGATTTTGAGACTAATTTACTACTTCTGTGCTATGATAATTATACACAAAAGAAGTGTAAAAAGCAGTAATTATTCATATGTGTACGTGTAAGTGTGCATGTCTAAAGTAAAGGTGTGATACCATATCATATTTATATGTAGAGTGGTTGAAATAAGTGAGAGTCAGGCCTTGAATGTAGGCTCTTTTTTGAATTTACTGTGGACTATGGCTAAGTGAGCCTGTGCTAGAGATCTTAAAACAGGGCTGACTTTAAGGCCACCCTAGTGCCGATTGAAATAGCCACTTAAGTTTCTTCATTCTGGTTGCAAAGGCAAATTTTCATGAAATAGAGAGATCTGATTGGTTATTTCAGTTGTTGCTGGGGTGGTCTTTAAAGTCGCCCAAATCAGATAACTAAATACTGGCATACATCTACTTTACTAATGAAGTGCTTTGGTGAGATTTCAGGCTCTTACAGCTTGGTAATCGAATGACACAATTTTTCAGCACTCATTATTTATGTCTAATAAACAAATAACTAGTCACTGATTTGAGACATATCAATAAAATATTTGTCTTTATGGTGTAAGGGAAATATTTCATGAGGCAATATTGCA